GTGCAGCAGCATGTTCCTAAAAAATTTTCGTTATTATTGATCAAACTATATGGTATCATGTCACATAAGGCATTACTAAGTTATCTTCAGCTTTGTCTATAAGTTTATGAGCACAATTTTTATGCAATTTACAAGAAGCAATTTGGATTGTTAAAAACACGGAAACCATAAAGTGTAACAAACTTTTACTAAAATGTTCAGTCTCAGTATAATGTAACACTTAAGGCATTTAAAACACTACATTTAGCCTTGAATAATTTGTTGAAGTGTGTGATGCCATTACAGTATAAGCTTCAGGAATACTCTGGCTCTCAGATGAGATAAATGATCGAGCAGGAGGTATATCTGGTTCCTGTCTGAAATTCACAAATTAGTGTGTGGTAAAACTTGGGTTCGATGCCAGTCTTTTTTAGGTAACACAAAAACCAAGCATTAGGAACACGAACGAGTTTATCACTACACAGTAGACGAACTGGGGCACTCAACTGTCTCTTTGGCAGAAGTATGTACAGTGTAGACACATATACAAGACTACATCTGTCTACTTGATCTCAACTGCACAGTCTATGTGACTTGAATAATAACACTAGATAAAGAAGAATTCAAATTATGTGTCATGTAGAGATGGGTAGATTACAGCCTGTTATAATGGCGCTAGGTGTATCCCTGGTGAACAAATTAAGCCACTGGCTTACTATTCTGTGCATTGCTTCTTCAGAATTTCTACTTATTTTGCAGACATTATGAATGTGTTTTCTCTAAGAGCAACATGAAAACGGTGTTTGCTCTGAGAGGGAAACTTGCTATTTCCCATTAAGTAAAAGGTGAAGTTGCCCATGTGCTTAATTAAGCACCATGCACTGAAGGGCTAGTGAGGCATGGAAGTGCAACTCCAAACATTCTTAATTTTGACACTGAATGGAGCTGAGTAGTCAGTTTCACGCCTCTGCCACATTACTCTTGGGAAGAGAGCCCCCTCAAGTCATTGGCTAGGAGGCTGGGTGGGCCTCAGAGCTGGTCTGGACTCTGTGAAAAAGAAAACTATCTTTCATCCTTGTTGAAAATGGAACGCTGATTCCCCAACTGTCCAGTCTGTGATCCAGTCATCATACTGACTGAGCTAACCCCACTCCCTTATAAAGTACATCATGACATCTATTATCATTCCTCTGCATTATTCAACAGACTAAATAAAGTCTGCATGCAGGCAGAAATTCAACTGGGTAAGCCAATGGATTAACTAGTAGGGAAGTTTGATGAAAGCTTAGTAAATTCTATAACTTCAATTGTAACACTATCGCACATTTTATGTCCTCAAGAATTGATTTTCTTTACTTTTAAGTATTTGGAAAGAACAGCAATGTTCAATGTAAGAATTTATGGGGTAAATGCACCAGAAATTATTTAAGAGCAATATTAACTTAAATTTTGTAAATTCTTTTAATTAAATGTGGCACAATTCAGATTTGTTCATTTTCTGGTTACATTTTTGTATCTGGAACATGTTATAGGACTACTTTTAATTGTGACAATTGTATGAAATACATACATCCACTGTGCGTAAAATACGGAGCATTTTAATGTCAAAGCTGGAGATATATAAGACGTATTCTTACTACCAAGCTTTAAAGGGTTAAAGGCTGTAACTCTAATATCTTCTTTGGCTTAAATAAACTTTAAATTAAATGCAGTAAGTAAATACATAAATTTTATGGTTTCGTTTAGTTTTTAATATAATGGGAAGATATGTATCACATACTGAATTTGGTTTCAGCTTTGCTGTACACTGAAGTGATACATTTTGGCAAAATAAATATTGTAACAGTACTTACTTTATAATAGGGGGTTTCCATTTGTGAACTGTTCTTCGTTCAGAAATTTCTTCTCCAGAAAGGAGCAGAATTTTAGAGGTTCAGAAATACTGTATCATTGTTAATATTTTCCACAGCTGTTGATTTCTACAACATATTGGTATTTTCTTTTTAAGCAATGTGTTACAAAAAATTATGTAGCTAAACATTCTCACAAGGAACAAGCACATCGCAGGGATTATAACCAATTGTAACTAAAAAGATAACTCATGTAGGGCAATGTATACAAACATTAAATTGATACACATGACAAATAAAATAATGATCTAAACAAGCTTTTGTTTTTAAAATATCACTTCTTTGTCATTAAATAGGGCACGCAGAAAGCTGGATGGAGCTCACAGAGGCTTTATTCAAAAATGGGAGCTTTAAATATGGAACACATTGGTGGATGCCATCATCACAGATATCAGCTCAGTTCAGTGATGGTAGGGAACTGAGTTTTACTTTAACATTTTACAGACACACTCATACACAACCAACAAAATTTTCTATGAAACGACACACAGGAATAAAGAGTGGATGTCTAAAAAGGTCTCTCTTAAGATCGAATTTTATTATCAGAACTATCAATGTGGCAAATCTTTGTTTCACACCAAACTTTTACTTAACCCTGCCAATCATGTTGAACTTAACTGTATCCTGAAAGCTGTGTCCTCTTGGTAAAAGGCATGGAAACAGTTTTCAGATAAAACAGAAGTATCATTTCTGAATTTGAGACATATTTCAATACGATTACATAAAGAATCATCTGGAAATTTATTAATGAAAGAAAAACGTACCTAAATTTGAGAGATGTTTTGGAAATATATTATCTACCCGGGACTTGAAATATCAATTCCATCTATTGGCCATGTTTGTATCTTCTAAGCATGTGACTTTCTCTCTGCAAAATTGTACAATATTGAGGAACAAAGATTGCACAGATAAAAGAGAAACAACTCCATGGTGTTATATTTTTTCTTGAGAAGCTAATAGTCAAACAGCTGCTCAAGAAATTCCCCACCTTTTATGGAACCCAAAGATTTATTACTGTGTTCATAAGAGACTTCCAATGGGTCCTATCCTGAGTCAGATCAATAAAATCCACATCCTCCTTCTGTAGTAATGTAGGATCCATGATATTACATATATATTTATAGTTTTAATATATGTTGCACACTAATTAAAATGTTTGTCAGAGAATACTAAAAACAGTCTTTTTATTGTACTTATTGCATCTCTGTATCTCAAGCTTGGATATCTGCATACAGTTCGCTATTCCATGAGGGTCTCGTTCATAATATAAAATAATATAAAACATCAATAACGTGAGTTGCCATGACTCCATTTAAGCCAACAGATTACGATGACCAGATAAAACTAACTGAACAGGACACATGGCAGAACAGTGCAAATTTTCCTTCCTGGTTTCATCAAGCACCACACCATGAAGACAGATTCTTAACCTTGCCATTAGATGGAGAGAGTCATTGGGTTCATGCCCCAGTGATTTATCCCTGGGGCAAAAGAGCCCATTTTACCTATTAATAGGATGGGTGGGTCCCAGGACCAGTCTGGATACTGTGGAGAAGGGAAAAATTTCTATGTCCACTCAGAATCAAAGTTCAGTCCCCTCATTGCACAACCTGCAACATAATCTCTACACTAACTGAGCCATCCTGCCTCTGCCAGATATAGTGTGTACATCAGAAAGTCCATCTGTGAATCTAAACCATGACAGTCACAGGTTGCAGTTCTTACTGATGTTTCTTAGCTTGATGTGTATTCATGAGAAAGTTGGATACTCATCTGTGCAATCTGGTTTCCTCTAAGCAATCTTCTTCTCTGTTAGAAATTAAAGTACAGCGAGTAATACTATATTTCAGCATCTCTTGTAGTCTTCTTCTGTCTAGGAGTATAATGCGACATCAATAAGAAATCTGTAAGCGAAGAGGCTGTGAGAACAAGCACTCTGCTTGTACTGGTTCTCACGGCCTCTTCGCTTACAGATTTCTTATTTTTCCTTCTACCCTGAAGATGGAGGCGATAAGTTCCTCCGAAACGTCGGTTAACACCACATCTACACGGTGTCACATCCCAAAAGACTGCTTTCTTCATAGTCACCGCCATGAAAACCTCAAATCATACAATATCAATATACATTTAGGTGACACTAATGCACTAAAATGTTCGTTGCACTATATATTTCGCCCACACACGGTCATCTTCAGGTATCCACTGCACTGTGCATTTCGTCAACAGTACTCTTAAAGTATGTTATTGTTGTTATTATTATTAATTTTGGTGTTACAGGATGTTTGTTCTTCCTATCTTTTGTATTGTGGTTGTTCCGTGCCCCATTGTGTGCACCACTCCCTTGGTCATGTGTATCTTGAGTTGATTTGTGTTCCTTGTATGTGTTCATCATACCCAGGCGTTTCTAGTGATGTGGAGTGTAGTTGTGAAGTGGTGCTGTGTGGTCCGGTATGTGTTCATCATACCCAGGCGTTTCTAGTGATGTGGAGTGTAGTTGTGAAGTGGTGCTGTGTGGTCCGGTATGTGTTCATCATACCCAGGCGTTTCTAGTGATGTGGAGTGTAGTTGTGAAGTGGTGCTGTGTGGTCCGGTATGTGTTCATCATACCCAGGCGTTTCTAGTGATGTGGAGTGTAGTTGTGAAGTGGTGCTGTGTGGTCCGGTATGTGTTCATCATACCCAGGCGTTTCTAGTGATGTGGAGTGTAGTTGTGAAGTGGTGCTGTGTGGTCCGGTATGTGTTCATCATACCCAGGCGTTTCTAGTGATGTGGAGTGTAGTTGTGAAGTGGTGCTGTGTGGTCCGGTATGTGTTCATCATACCCAGGCGTTTCTAGTGATGTGGAGTGTAGTTGTGAAGTGGTGCTGTGTGGTCCAGTATGTGGGTACAGACATTGTGGAGGAACCTGCTGCTTCCATCTTCAGGAGAGAATGTTTCTCCAAAATGATGTAACAACTGAACTGACTACACATAACCACAATCTAAATATAGAACAGTTTTTTTCCCTTCTTTTTCTCCAGTCAAACGGACACCAGAGGCTCTTTCCCGATTGGGCTGGGGTGTGAAGCTGACCTCTAGTTCCAAGGCCAAGAATGGTGGAGCTATACCTCCACTTTCCAACATGATTTCAAGATGTGGTGCTTAATTAATTAAGGACAGTGACAGCTTTACCATTTTTACCTTTTTGCATTCAAAGTAAAACTTAACAATTTTTGCTGCATTAGGCAGAAGATCATTATGTTGAATGTGTGATGTTGCAGGCCATGTTGTGAAGCAGAAATGGGCCATATTGAGGGACGTATTTAGGAGGGAGCTGAAGAAGCATCTTTGTGGCATACCTGGAGGTCCTCATGGGCAGACCATCTCCTACAAGTCAAGATGGATATATTTTCCACACATGCTGTTCCTGAAGGATGTTATGCAGGTTTCAGAGAATGCAGATGAAGATGAACCATTTTCAAGTATTTTTTTTTGTGAAAGGTGAAGATTTAGATGGCACCGAATTGAAAGAAAACTATTCCAGTAGTGGCACAGCTAGTAGTAGTGCTATTGTGCAAGATACAAGGAACAAATCAACGCAAGATATATACAACCAAGGAAGTGGAACAGAACAGCTGCACTACAAAATATATAACACCAAAATTAATAGTAATAATAACAAAAATGGGATACTTTAAAGAGTATCATTTGACAAAGTGTACAGTGCAGTGGATTCCTTAAAATATGTTGCCAGAAGATGCCCCTGGGTGGCTGAAACATGTAGAGTACAGACACAGAATGTATATATATTTTAGTGAAAATCTGAACATTTTTACAAACATTTTAGTGAATGACATGTGTATTAGTGTCACCTAAATGTATACTGATACTGTGGCATTATAGAGAGAAGACTACAAGAGCTACAAAGAGTACTACCTGTAGATGTCTTTATAATGGAGTTAGTTAAGTCTATAGATATTCACATGAGAACATTTCCTCCCAAAACATGAAATTTTTCTACAAGAGGTGTTTGAATATACTCTGTACACCATTATTGAAATTAATCGCTAACTATTATCTGAAGTAGATATTATTACTTTTAAAATGTTAAAAAATGGACATATTAGACATTTTTGATATTGTAAGCTATTCTTATTCTCTATTATCTGAGTTTTACAGGACAGTAATTGTATCTGCATGCAATAATCACGTTTACATACACACACATCAGCAAAAAGCATGAATGATAGTTGTGTATTTAAGCAATTTGCAATCTGATTGTCCTGATGTACTTCAGACATTGCTAAGCCTGCACACAAATTTAAAACTCTTCACTACACATTCCAAACATTTCACATCTAAGTGGGAATAAATGCAAGGATTAATACTGCAATCCACAGCATGACAGTTCCAGACACTGTGCTATGTAAGATCTTAGTTCTAACTTTCGCTCTAATTCCATTTCGCTTATGCTCATTTATGTAGGTCATGACAGGATGTGGCATCCACCATTCAATAATTCCCATGTAATTGCACCCATTGTGTGTAAAGGCTTGCTGCTATGTTCGTGCAGTGGGAGATGCTTTAGGACGGACAGATTGCATTTTAAAAACAAAAGAGTGTGGCAAATCGATTACAAAACGCAACCACATACAAAAAAGTTAAAAAAAAGATATAATACACTGCACTAAAATGATTCACAGATCTATACACATATATTTCTCTTCAGTGTGTATGATGTCACTGCCACCTTATCCAGTGAGATTCATTTATTTGCTTGTGTTATATTCCCAAGCAAAGCGTCTTCAACAGCAGATTCATGTCTTCGTGGTAATGAACTCACAAACGTGGTATAAAAGTTCAGTGGGGGCCAAATTGCAGGCGTAGATCAGCTGTGTTGTAACAGAGTACATTTTATAATACTGACAGATCCTGTTCTGAACAAAACACACACCAGAGACTTCAAGTATTGCTTGTATATTATATCACTTGACATCAACAAAATGTGCCCACCAACATACAAAGGAACTCTCTCTCCAGGCAACCATGAGCTCTAACATCCCGCCATATTCGACATGCAGTACAGGAGTTATTTTATAGAAACCAATTTGTTGTTTCTTTTCAGCCACTTCTGTCACTACGTATCAGAACTCCAGCATGGGCCATTATCAGGCTATTATCAGTCTAGACCTCAAGCTCAGTATTACACTTACAATGCATCAGCTGTGTTCATAAGAGATCCTTTTTGACGACTGAGAAATTCATGACTAAATTTATTAACCATGATTATCATGAATGACTGAAGGCTGAAAAGCTAATGGATCCAACAGCATTGGTAGATCGATCATTGTAATTTGAGGTTCTCATAGCACTGACTGTGCACGGACGTGACGCTGTGTAGTCTGGTGAAGTTCACTCACCTTTCTGAAGCACTATGTTTCCCTGAAATGTTGACAAACTTCCACCAGACTACACAGCCAAATAACACAGAAGACAGCTTGAGTATAATTATTGTTAACAGCAACTTCATTGATGAATATGTAACCTTCATGAAGGCCCTTTATAAAAACAGATGACACACTATAAAACTTAACAGTGCCCTGTACTACCTAATGCTGTGACCATTTGATGACCCTTGATGGGTGTGAAATTGTGTAGTGGGATAAGGAATCCACAAAAAAAGAACATGGCAGATGTGTTGCACACCTGTGGTTTATATAAAATGAATTCAATATTGTGTTTTAAGAGTTATATAGTAGTTTAATACTGAAAGGTAAGTTGATGGAGAGACATGAGTTAACTGTCAATTTAAAACACTCCATAGCATTCAACGATTCCTGACAGACAAAACTCAATATGCTGAAACATCAACAGTGTTCATCAATCACTGTGGGTTATAGCAGTCATGGCTGTAGCAATATCAAGCAAAGCAACAACATGAATGAATTCACTGCCCCAACACAGACACTATCATCTGGTGACTATAAGGGCAGTTGAATGCCTTTGGAAGCTCTTAGATAATAGGAAACAGAAATGTCCTTCGCATATAAAGGCATGCTACCGTGTAGCGCAACATTGGACAGCCAAACATGCTGGCCATATTGGTGACTTCAAGCGCAATCTAGTGATGCCAAAACTGTAAGAACCCAACAAACTGTCCGCTACTTTCAAATTATCTTGTAAATTAATGCAACATTACACAAAACAAAGACAACACAAGCAACTTGGACCCCCATTTGTGCTTATGGGTACAGTGTTTCTACCCAGGGGAGGGCGAAGTTCTGGTGGATGAGGTGGCCGCAGGCTGCTGCTGCTGCTGGCCGCCATCTCCTAGCGATAGGGCCTGAACAATTCGTGGATCCGCCTTGCTGCCTTCACGAAATTCTTCCAGGGTAAGGCGATCATCGTGGTTCTTATCCATCTGGTCGAAGATCTTGTCCACTCGCTTCTGTGGCGTGTTATCATCTTCTGATGTAGGCTGCTGGCCCTGTGGCGAGGCAATGACCTTGCATAAGTAACAGTGAACCCTTCCCACACTGCAGTGACACAGCACAGCGAGGTGAAGACTGTTAAACTAAAGAGGGGAGCAATATATTTGGGTACCATCACCTAGTCCCAATCCAGAAGAACACAATATCAATCTGCACATGCACGCAAGATGAGAAATACACAATGAATGAAACCGTCTATGAAGAACTGCTGGAAGTGGCTGCGGAACAAGCATGCCTGATCTTGTGCCATGAAACATGGCATGTCTTGCAGCTGGGCAGGTTTACCTTATCCTGCAACTGATAATACTGCCAGCTGCAGAATTCGTGCTGTTATCCACTTTCTTCACTCTTCACTCACTTATTTTTTATGTAAGACTTGAGGTTTCCATGCTGGTGAATGTTGGAACACATTTTATGTACATACGGGAAGATCGCATGATTTATTCCAAATGAGGTAACTGGATTTTTCAATCCTTCCAGCCATACTGTGGGCCTGGGCTCAAGTCGGCATCTGACAGAAATGAGTACCAGGAATCTTCTTGGGGGTAAAGGGTAGCCAGCATGTAGGGCTGACAATCTTACTGCCATCTGTGAGCCAAATGGCTAGAAAATGTGGGAGCCTCGACATCTCACAACCCTATGGGTCTCCACGGCCTGTTACAGGGATAGCTTTACTTTTACTTTAAGTAACATGAAAGTAATTACAATATCTCAGCCACAAAGCAGTATACTAGTAAGAAATTATTATTAATCAACACCTGTTGAGCAAACTAATGTTTCTGCCTGTGTTGTGGTGCTACTGACAATCAACCTATAACACCATACTGTTCAGCAGCCAACACTGATCTACATACCACCATCTGGTATATGGCATCCACTATGTTGTACATCTCGTCTCGGGTGATGAAGCCATCATTGTCAACATCATACAGCCGAAACGCCCCTGAAACAACACACACCGCTGTACTCGCTAGGAACGGGGAAATATTTGTGCCTACTTACCAAACTACTTTCTTCAACCCTGAAGATGGAGGTACCATTTTCCTCCGAAAAGTTTTTACATATATACCAAATTACATTCTTCCATCCTGAGAACAGATGCGCCATTTTACTCTGAAACGCTGGTATCTATGTTCAAAACTACATTTTAAATATTTAATATGGAAGCATTATTCTCCTTCGAAACATTGGTAAACTTTATTCCTCTAAGGAAGAACCTTTTTCTCCGTAACGTCCGTACTTATCTACCAAACTACACAGCATAAAGTTTTAATGCGTAAAATATGGATTCTACATAACATAAAAAAATTCATGACGTAATAGCGGGTCGGTAAGCCTTGCGCCTTGAAGTCAGGCTACTCACAATGCAACTTCTCGTCCAGGTTCCCTCGTGACGTAATCGAAAGAGCTCGGATGAACTCTTCAAACTCAATGGAGCCGTCCTGGGAACAAGAGCGACACAAGAGCATGTTACGTTACTGGTACATCTGTCAATGGATTTGGTGCGAAAGCAAGCGACGTTCAGAATGCCCGAACGCCTCAGGCAAAGTGTGAACATGAGCCCGACAAGTACGGGCGTATCGAGCCATCACCCCTCTCAGGTTCGAAGTTAAGGGTGACACGAGCTCATATTTGAAATCTCTGTCCGTTTTTCCTAAACTGGGGGTGTTTGAGAACAGGGTGCTGAGGAGAATATTTGGACCGAAGAGGGATGAAGTGACAGGAGGTTGGAGGAAACTGCATAATGAGGAGCTTCATAACTTGTACTCTTCTCCAAGTATAATTAGAATGATCAAGTCAAGGAGGATGAGGTGAGCAGGGCATGTAGCACGAATGGAAAGAAGGGGAATACATATAGAATATTGGTGGGAAAGCCAGAAGGAAAGAGATTACCGGGAAGACAAAGACGTAGGTGGGTGGACAATATTAGAGAGATTTGAGGCTTTCACGGCGGTGACTATGAAGAAAGCAGTCTTCTGGGATTTGGCACCGTGTATATGTGGTGTTAACCGACGTTTCGGAGGAACGTATCGCCTCCATCTTCAGGGTAGAAGAAAAAGTATAAGAAATCTGCAAGTGACAAGACCGTGAGAACGGTCTGCTTTCACCGTTCTCACGGTCTTGTCGCTTGCAGATTTCTTATACTTTTTCTTCTACCCTGAAGATGGAGGCGATACGTTCCTCCGAAACGTCGGTTAACACCACATATACACGGTACCAAATCCCAGAAGACTGCTTTCTTCAATATTAGAGAGGTGGGATGGGATAGTAAGGATTGGACTGGTCTGGCTCAGGATAGGGACTAGTGGATGGCTCTTGTGAATATGCTAATGAACCTTCGGGTTCCATAAAATGCTGGGAAGTTCTTGAGTAGCTGAGCGACTGCCGGCTTCACAAGAAGGGCTCAGCTCCATGAGTGAGTGAGACTTTTATTCCTAATCACATATGACAGGTTTCGATGGTGAAAGTCACCATCAGATGGAATACAAAGAAAAACATTTAAAAACGCCCACTGTAAGGCAACTGTTAAGGGAATATATTAAACGTAAAAGGAAGAAAGCCAGGCCGGACGCCAGTCACACCGCGCCTTCCTGCGTCCACTGCATATCCGTGACGTGTGCGGTTCAGGTCTTGTATAATTTCGGGCTGTCCTTTATACTCGCAGGAGCCGGGATAGCGACTGGCTACGGGCTGCACGACTGAGGAGTCGGAGTTCGAGTCCCGGTAGGGTCAAGAATTTTCTCTTCTCCACGTCGTCAAGACTGGCTCAGGGGTCCACCCAACCTCCTATCCAATGTGTTGCGGGAGAAAAGCTGACCACTCACTTCCAGCTAGTGCCGAGGTCAAGAAAATGTGGATCTATACATCCACTCCCCCATACGCCTTCATGGCGTGGTGCTTAACTCGTTGAGCACAGGGACAACTTTACCTTTAACTTTATACTCGCCTGGTACACTTTCATTCTTCCTCTACTTGCGCTCTCCCAGTTACCCGAAACCAAATTACAATTCCGTGCCGTGGGTTAATCTCGGCATTTAGGCGAGCAGCCGGGTGTTACGTGTAATGAACCCGCAGTGGAGAGCCGACGTGGTGACGTGGCACTGTGGTCTGTATATATAGACGTGTGGAGAAGTGGAGGTACAACTCCACGCATTCTAAGTCTCGGCAGTAGATGGAGGTAAGCGATCATATTCAGACTTCGGCTGCATTGCAGCCCGGGATGTAGACCTGGTGCACGCTGGATAGGAGGTTGGTTGAGGCCTCAAGCGGTTTGAGGCTACAGAGATGAGAAAAATCTCTTGTTCCTGCTGGGGAATCGAGCCCCAATTCGTCGGCCGGCCAACTGAGAGCACGTCGCTGCACCCAGCCTGTGCAGGGAGTGGGGAGGGATTTCCAACAAATGCAGTGGGATAAACCAGACAAGTCAGAGAACGTTTCAAGATAAATGCCTTGAAGTGAAATGGATAAACTGGTATCAGTACGTTCTATCCCATTAGCTTACTTTGACGGCTGCCAGACGTCCGCGGCGAAAGACGGCTCCGAGCAAACCGAAGGTAGTTTACACACTGGCCAGTAGATGTAGCTTGCGAGAGCAGAAGTCGTTGATGGCGTTTAGGCATTTACTTTGAAATTTTGAATTCCATTTATCTAGGTATTGTAACATGTAGACCCACTTCCAAGTAACCGCTTTGTAAACAGGCGACAGTATAACATCCGTTGCTAGGGAACAGCTCTCTGGGCACGTTGCTTCCCCGATGACGAGAAAACACACAATAATGGTAGAGACGTTTTCTCTGCGGTCCGTGCAGTTTCAGTTGTGAGAAATGACAAGCTGGCAGCTGAGGTCGGGGACAGTTCTGGGATCCAGAAAAAGGGCAACGTCCGACTTGAAAGCCGCTACCAAGCAACGGCTAGCGAAGACCGAGAAGACTTCAGGTGTACTGTAGCTACAGTGATCTCTGGGATATGTAACTCAGTGAGATTGTCGTAACGTTCAATTAATCCGATTGCCAAGCCAAACACCGCCTATAGGTGTTCAATCACGTGACAGTATTATGAATACAAAAGATTAGACAGTAAACCAGCTGGTGAGGAATGAACAAAGGTATAATGCCAAAGGCCGCGCTACAGCTCAAGCGGTTAGTTGCTGGCTTCCCACCGCGGTGGCCCGGGTTCGATCCCGGGTCTGATCAAGTGGGATTTGTGGTGGACAAATTGGCGCTGGGGCAGGTTTTCTCCGAGTACTTCGGTTTCCCCTGCCAATCTTCATTCCACAATCACCCTCACCTATCATCTGGGGCTGGTACACCAGGCCAGAAGTGGCCTCAGTCCCACCCCACTAGCAATACAAAAGATATAATGCCAAAGAATTTTGAACACGAAACCAAAAGAGAAATGTCCAGTAGGAAGTTGCGGATGAGAGACGTCACACGAATGGAAGGAATAGCGTGGGAGGAATTTGAGTAGACAGATGAAGAGGCTTGGTCTGTGGGCGACCCACACAAAGTGAGAAGAAAGGGAACGGAAGTAGATTCTGAAGCAGCTGCAACACACTGGGGGGGGGGGGGNTACTGGAGTCTACTGTCACAGACTCGGAGAGTGGGTCAGTCAGTTTGCTGATTACTTCTAGTGCGTCACGTATAGCCATGCCAACAGACGTAATGAACGTGATTCCTTATTTCAGCCTGTCACCTGAAGAAGGAAACGGAACCAGTTTCCGAAACGTGAGGGTAAAAAAGAACTGAGACGATTAACAAGGCCTAATAGCAGTAAAAAGACTGAGTGTGGAGAGTTTGGTGTTGCACAAAAATATTTGTTCCTATATCCCACCAATACTACGAAAATTACAAGACAAAATTGCGCGGAGACATGAAAGGTCACTCAAATGCTTATAACTACGGATACTAAACCAATATTCTGAATCATAAAAATCATATAAATAATGTCTAATATTCATTCAGTCCGTACCTCACAGAAACACACTCCGTCTCCATAGCAACGCCGAACCGGTTAATGCTGTTTAGGGAAATAATCGCTGTTTACTGTGAGAACCATACGGAACACATAAATACACTGTGTGGGCAGAATGCAGAGTTTTAGTATCTTGAAGTCCATACCTCACAGGGAACACACTCCGTCTCCATAGCAACGCCCAACCGGTTAATGCTGTTTAGGGAAACAGTCGCTGTTTACTGTGAGAACCATACGGAACACATAAATACGCTGTGTGGGTTGAAGGCGGCGGTACATACAGTTATGCAGCCTGAGGGTGTTTGAGAACTGGGGCCTGAACATGAAGCGACATGAGGACTGAGGCAGCTGCACAATGAAGATCTCCGTAACTTGTACTCGACAGAGTGTGTTAAGATGCTCAAATTAAGGTGGGTGATATCGGCAAGTAACGTAGCATGACTGGAAGAGAAAAGAAATTGATACAAAATTTTATTAGGAAAACCAGAAAGAAAAAAAAAACAGTTAGACGGCCTATGCATGATGGGAGGATGGCATTAAAACGGATAATATATAAATAAAATGAGGTGGTGTGGATTGGATTCATCTGGCTCAGGATAGGGACCAGTGACTGGGCACCTGTGAACACGGTAATGAAGCTTCGGTTTCCATAAAGTGTTGGGAAATATTTACACTCGGCAAGCACTGCCAGCCTCCCTGATGTTGGTGTAACTCTCGTATATTCGTACTTAGAAGCGCTTGGTCCATTGTCCGATATTCTGAAATGTCGACTGGTGACACCGGACCCACAGACGGGGATCAGCTCTTTCTAACGGATGCAACTGAGTAGGTAGCTCTGCCCTGAAGATGGCATCACATCCACTTCCCGAAACATTGTGCTTTGTGCTTATATTCTGGTTCCGGTTCGAATATCAGCAGAAACACCCGGTATCCTGACCGGGGGTTTTCATGATTTTACTCTGTCCCGATTATGCAACGGCGATGCACGCAGTATAACTACTGAGAGCGTCGTCACAAAGCGCACAGGAGATCCAAGGGGTCAGTTCGTGTTTCTAATCTTACGTCAATCAGCGAGCGGTCAGCGTTTCCCAGCGCACAAACCACGTCAGAGTGGAACTGCCGCTGATTCCGGGCCGAGACAGCTTATCGGCATGTGGGGGGAGGGGGAATTATCGATTTGGAAACTTCCAGACGTGCAGATTTGCATAATATTTGGGGGCAGCACACACGGCCTCGGCCACAACACAAACACATGCGAGGACCTGCGTCCAGTGTCTGGGGCATAGACACAGAGTGATGGGTCTACTATTTAAATTAGTTACTTGTTCCAGCAGCTCAGGCGGTTAGTTGCCGGCTTGCCGCCACGGCGGCCTGGGTTCGAGCCCAGGTCAGGATTTTTGGTGGACTTAGTGGCACTGGGGCAGGTTTCCTTCGAGTATTTCAGTTTCCCCTGCCAATTCTCATTCCACTGACTGCTCCACAATCATTATCATCTTCAGCCTGGGCTTGTACAACAGGCCAGTTACTGGCCGCAGTACTAACTGCTCTGTCTCGCCCCACACCTCACGAAACTAAAACAGAGGAACTTCGATAATCCGACGCAATGAAAGCACTGGAGCGTTCAGAGCATCACACCGTTCGGATTACTGGACTTCAAATGAAAAAATTATAATTTTTAGTAAACATTATTTATTCAAATTCATAACTTGTACCCTTCTCCAAGTATAACTAGAATGATCAAGTCAAGGTGGATGAAGTTGGCAGGGCATGTAGCACGAATGGGGGAGAAGAGGAATGCATATAGGAAATTGGTGGGAAAGCCAGAAGGAAAGAGACCACTGGGAAGACCAAGGCGTAGGTGGGTGGACAATATTGAAATGGATCTTAGAGAGACAGATTGGGATGGTGTGGATTGGATTGGTTCAGGATAGGGACCAGTGAAGGGCTCTTGTGAACACGGTAATGAACCTTCTGGTTCCATAAAATGCTGGGAAATTCTTGAGTAGCTGCAGATTTGGTTTCTCCTCAAGAAGGGCTCGGCTCCATGAGTAAGTAAGTAATTTATTCAAAAGATTTGGGGTACTTTTGTATATAAACACTGACCGGAACCCCCGGACGTTCGGCTACACGCCGGGCTCGGGTCACATGTCCCACCGCCCAGAGAGGCGGCCCAGGTTTCACAAGAATTCATTCTCACTGGGTGGAAGTAGAACTGGAGTAAACCAGTAATATTTGGAGATGCCGACATTTTTCGTGGCACCGTACGTCAGTTCGGATGTACGTGGGTTCGAATTACAGAGGCGGCTGTCAGGGCCGAGGCTATATAACGTCGGACGGCAGGATGACTACTGAACAATGAATTGGTAAGGATGTGGAAGGAGACACTAGTAGCCCAATTACACGTACTGTCCTGCCGTTCGGCTGGAGGGAGTGAAGCATCAGTCCGCATTACGGGTGTCCTAGTCTGTGTTCCAAAGCTGGTTGCAACTTCTCCACAGGCCGCGCCATAGCTCATGCGGTTAGTCGCTGGCTTCCCGGCCCGGGTTCGATCCCGGGTCTGGTCAAGTGGGATCTATGGTGCACAAAATGGCGCCGGGGCAGGTTTTCTCCGAGTACTTCGGTTTCCGCTGCCAATCTTCATTCCACCAATTGCTCCACAACCACCCTCACCTATCATCTGGGGCTGGTACAATAAGCCAGAAGTGGCCACAGTACAAGGGACTTAGTCCCACCCCACTAGCAATAAAAAAAAAGCTCTCCACAGATGGCTCCACTGCGCAACATGCACTCAATTTATGGGCCACTTCAAAGTGTCGAAACATGAAATACGAGTAGGATGGGGCAGATTTCCGTGGAAACGTGCAAAATCTTCGTCCCTAGGGAGCGAGTCACGTGACGTCAGCACTCACATTGTTCTCGTCGAAGACCCTGAACACCAGGGACGCAAACTTGGACGGGTCCCCCTGCGGGAAGAACTGCTTGTAGATCTTGATGAAGCCCTGCAAGAAAAGACACTCATCAGAACTTTACGACACAAATACGAAATTAACAGCCAACGGGATTCAGTTTCGTTTTGTGGCGCAACCAAGTGTTTCGCCTGTTTGCTAAAACCTTCATCAAGAGATGGGACAAGTAACATTACGAAGGTACGACTGCAATTTCTGAAGGGTTGCAACAGATTTATGAAAAGGAAAGCAATGATTGAGATTACAGATGCTGTGTCGTCTTGCCAGCTGACAGTTTCACTAACTTGTTCAGTAACGTAACGGAAGCATTTATCTTATCGTCTCATTCTGTGGAGCATATAAGGTGAGACATAGCCACGACATCTTGCGGAGTGAGGCAGCTTTCTGTTGCTAATGTTTTTAGTAATGCGAAGCAAGAAAATGGCGGCCACGCCTATTTACGTTCCCATTTGATAATAATAAAAATAACGGACCATTATGATGTGGCCAGAATTTATACTGTACACCGCCAGATGTCAGGATGTTTCAGGAACTGTAAAGGACATGGAGCGAAGAGAAAGTGACATAATAGAGACAGGCGTGTTCTGCCGGCATTTGCAGACAGAAACTGAGGAAAACCACCGAGACCCTCAGTTATTACAGCCGATGTCACTATAGGGAATCGAACCGAGCACTTGCCGAACACAAGACTAGAGATTTACCTATAAATTGGGTAGCTAGATCATAAATATATACCTACTAATTTTGCAATAAAGAACTGAATGTCTGGAGATTGAAAGTATTAAACATGGAGACGATGCGAATTTTTGAGAATGTTCCCGATAACTATCGTTACATGGAGATGTATAATGGCACAAATTACGCATAGAAAGAGATCGCTAATTTGCGGTTAGTGATCTATAATCACTGCCTCCACTAGCTGCCTTATGCAAGCACATACGAGAAAAAAGCGCCAGAGGTGTCAGGAGAATCACCTCTCCTGAAACACTTTTGAAAGAGAAGAATTCTCTGCGCAGATAATCTTTACCAGACGATACGGAGTCACACTACGAACGATAACTCTTCAGTCACAACCATGAGAAAATGAGACGCAAAAATAAAGGTTTCTTGAAGGAACTAATGGCATGGTTTCGCCTTTCGTACGACACGAACACCACAGAAAACGAAAAAAAAAAAATTAGGGTAGAGATAAACAGACACACGGGCAGCAACTAAGCTTCCTTTTATTTTTTTTAAATACGGAAATTAGGCTAAGAAATTGTAACGGTGAGCTAAAACAGGAATTCGCTATCGCCTCGCGTACCCCAGTGTTCGAACCCCGCTGTAAATGGAACATCTGTCTGCAATACGGCGTCGGGTAAAGTGTTGTAAGGAACGTTCTGAAAGCGACCGTCTCTTACAGCCGCTTAGAATTTTCTGGTTGTCAAGGCAACGGGGAGGATGCATTCGGAAAGCGCACTGTAGCATAGGCAGCGATTACCGGCTCACAGTACGGACCCACCGAACCGTTCGACCCATCTGTTTAATTTTGTTGCTCGCAGTCAGTTAAAACTTAACGGCGTTTTAAAGATATTTTTAACTTGTCCTTAGCTCTTAGTCGAGGAGTTCATTAGAGAAGTTTGCAGTTTGATGCTCTCAGAAGTAAAGACTAACTTCAGAATGTGTTTATAAAATCTGACAAGGCTTCCAACAGGAAATTTGTCACGTGAGTACGTGACAGTATGGTAGCGACCGTGTCACATCACAGGCGATTAGTCGTCGGCTTCCAACCGCAGAAGACCCGGGTTCGAGCCCAAGTCAAGTCATACGGGATTTGTAGTGGACGAAGTGACATTGGAGCAGGTTATATTCGAGTATTTCGGTTTCCCCTGTCAATTCTCATCCCACCGACTGCTCCACACTCATTTGTCATCCTAGCATTGGACGCCACGAAGTGTCGGTACTGACAGCGTCGTTAAACAACCAACTCTAAAGACATTAAATGAGAAAACTTAAAAATTGGAGCAGCATTCTGTGAAGTATCATATCTTCTAGAGGCACACCCGTTTTCACGACCGACTCTGGACTAAAATTCTCTGCAATGTGACGTCATTCGTCCACCCTGAAGGTGAAGTCAGCCATGTTCCTCAGAAACGTCGGTTTACCAGACTACACGGCGTCACATTCCAGAAGGAAAGCATCTTCAGTTACCTCTCTGTGAGAACCTCAAACCTCACATACTTCTAAGGTTTAGGTGTTGTGGGATATGACTCCGTGTAGTCTGGTAAACCGACGTTTCTGAGGAACATGGCTGACTTCACCTTCAGGGTAAACGAATGACGTCACATTGCAGAGAATATTAGTCCAGAGTCGGCCGTGAAAACGGGTGTGCCTCTAGAAGATATGATACTTCACAGAATGCTACCGTTTCGGTGCAACCTGCTGCCACTATCTTCAGGGATTTCCGGCACTTATAAATTAATCAGAATCCGTACAGCAGTTCTGTAGTTGCGGCGAACACGGTGAAGTTAATAGTCACGTCTTTAGAACTTTTCGTTGCGGACGGACCAAAGATACGCTGGAAGAGAAATGTGTCTGGAGGTTCTGACTTCTCCATTAGGCAGGGTGCCGTTTGTTCATGCTGAGATGTCAACAGTTAAAAGTAATTCGATAAGGCAGAAAAGTCGGCTCTCCGCGCAGGACAGGGGTGAGGCGGGGGGGCTCGAGAAGACACAAGTTCACAGCCTTCTGTTCCTCAACGGCCAGAACCGGGTAAATCGGGCGCACTTTCATAAACACTTACCTGTTCTGTGAGCAGACCGTTGGGGCAGTCCTTCAGGAAGCCTTTGTGCCTGCAAGGAGAGACAACACATGATTACTACAGCATGTCCTGTTGGCTACTTTACCGAGCTGTCAACTGGTAGGACAGTGCAGGAACTACGAAATTGAAGAATATCTGGAAGGAAACGGTCACGGTCTGATCGAGATACTATCTCAGCATTTGCTTAGGGGGACAGTGGGAAACTACGAAAGGACATGAGTCAGAATATCCCGATGTTCTGCCAATGGTACTTTCCCACTGTTCGTTTATTCACTGTCAGTCTCTCCCTAACTTCTGCATCCACCAGTCGCCGTCTCTACGAGATTTGGAGTCTCCTACACGTGTTCCCCTTCATCAAGCACTCTCACATCTCCCGTCTCTTAGTTCCTACACAAGTTTCCAGTTCTCTCTCCTCTCCTCCCTTCCTCACCCCGTCTCTTCTTTCTTCTTCTCTTCCCTTCTCCTTCCTGTACAGCTCAACCAATACAGTCACGGGCTATAGGCTGGAAGGCCGGCTGTGAGGACCACCCAGACTCCTATCGCATGGGTACCGGGCGCCTTTCCTCGGGGGTAAAGCGGCCAGGGCGTTAAACTGACCACTCACCTCCATCCAGTGCTGAGGTCAAAAATTCTGGAGCTATACTTCCACTCCCCCACACGTATTCATGGCACGGTGCAAATTTACATTTTACTGCTATCATCACTTCCCCTGCTACCCCGCTGACGCAGCCCTCACAACTCTCTCAGAATAAACCCGTCTTGTCTGCAGATGTCAGCAACGCGCGCTCCACATCAAAGCGACAGGTAACGGACATAGCAAGCTGACCATGCGTGCGCTTCGCCAGCCCCCGCCCCCGCCCCGCCCCCTATACCGGGGACTCGGTTCAACGGACTCGCAGTGCGACGGCTGCCTCTGCTTAATGAAGCACCACGCCATGAAAACGCATGGAGGAGTGGAGGCACAGCTCCAAGCATTACTCATCTCGGCATTGGATGGAGACGTGTGTCCGGACGCTTTGCCCAACGGGAATGAGCCCCTGAAACACATATATAGATATCCACCTGGTGAAACTGAGGATATTACTGTCACGTGCATGAGTGACTAGAGACGGGGTTTGGATTGGTGACTCGATTTATTGACCAATTATAGACTCACAACTCGTGACTACACTTTACAGGTCACTGTCACACACTGACTACTGTCTTTAGTCAATTATAGTCTCCACTAGCTGTTGCCTGGTAACGGTCTTCAACGGCGGCCATTTCCTTACTCTGGGTTCCCGAACTGTCCCCATGCCTCAGCTACCAGAACCACAGTTCTCTGAATAACTCCCAGGCTGGCGGCTATCTCACACCAAACTCCTCGCCTTCTCTTCACAGACTAACAACTGACCAAGGTCTAAAGCTCGTCTCACTAATAACCCCTAGGCACGGACCACGCAAAAACACAGCACTCCCATTGTTGCCCCAATCATCTCCATGGGAACGTGCCTGTCCGAGGTGTCACCCAGCAACAGCCGCGTATACGTACGTGCTTATTAAAAATCTGTTGCCTAGCAGCGAATGTTGTTTCGTTGTGTTTCGAGGTCGCTACTCGGCAACGGCTCTGCGCGCTATATTACGAAAGATCTCCGTCAGTGTATTCGGTCTCCGGGCCGAAATGTGAAACCTTCGGGCATCTTGTCTACGCTGTCAGCAAGAAGACTGCACAAGGTGCAGCAGATCATTAGAGGAGTAGTGAATCTGCAAGGACTGGGAAGGAATTGGTCTTGGCCTCATCGGCGTACTACCTTGTACTTGTCCGGGAGCACCGCAAGAAATGACGAAAGGCCTCAGTCAAGAAATCCGGTGTCTCGGTTCAGCTTCGAACAAAGTACCTCCGTAGTACAAGTCCAGAGCGCTACCCACTCAACAGAGACGTTTCGTGAAGTGGGACACAGTCAAAGAAGATGACGTGACACACAATAAAAACCCTAAGAGGAATTCTGAATGAAAAATGGAATGCAGATAATAAGAGGGTGCCTGCCCCCAGAGCTGCGACGCAAGCTGTCCCTTTGCACTGCGCCCTCACCTCCCCCTCCAGCCCGTGCGGCTGACATTTCTACTTGTAAGCACCAGCGGACAAAAACCGGAAATACGCAACAAAGAGCCGACACTCATGCGCCGTGCAGAGCGGAGAGGCAGTTAAGAAGCTCGTTCGGAAATCGCCTTCTGATCTATTCTGGATCCAGGCCAGTTGAAAGGGAACTTCAGTGAAGTGTGCACCCAACACCAGGCTAAGACATGCTAATGTCTGGCACGTTTCAAGAAGCCAAATCGAAAAGCAGCCTTTAGTACCGTTAGGTCTGGTTAGACAAAGGTAAAGGCAGCGCCATGGCTCAAGCGGTTAGTCGCTGGCTTCCCGATCCCGGGTCTGGTCAAGTGGGATTTGTGGTGGACAAAGTGGCGCTGGAGCAGGTTTTCTCCGAGTACTTCGGTTTCCCCTGCCAATCTTCATTCCATCAATTGCACCACAGTCACCCTCACCTATCATCTGGGGCTGGTGGCCGCAGTACAAGGGACTTAGTCCCACCCCACTAGCAATAAAAGAAAAAGGTTAAGTTAGATCTGCCAGTCTAAGTGTAGCAGAACTGCAAGGTAAAGTTGTCCTTACACTTAATTAAGCACCAAGCCGTGAAGATGTAATGGGACTGGAGGTATAGCTCCACCATTCTTGACCGTGGTACTGGATAGAGTTGAGTGATCAGCTTCACGCCCCTCCCACTTTATCCTCGGGGAAAGGGTCCCCGGTTTCCATTGCATAGGAGAGAGGCGGTCTTGTCCTAATTTGAGGCACGATTCAGGCCTTCAAGAACTGTCAGGATAGTCGGTGTTCGACTGATACTCGAACTGGTGACCTCTGGAATGAAAGTCATATCCCACTTGCTTCTTGAGCCTACTTTTTCAGTGATTCTATTCAAAACCTGAAACAGATTCGTTTGATATTTTCCTTCAGACTTTATCGTCAGAAATATTGTAGGCCTATTGTTGTTATTATTATTATTATCCCTATCCTTGTTACATGTCGTACCCATCGCATCCTCACTAATCAAACATCCGAATCGTCCTTCTATAAACTTAATGTCCTCAAGATTCGTAATTTCTCTGTTGCTGTAGATAACGCCTGCAATGTTAGGATTATACTACACGCAAATCAGATGCGCCGGAGAAGTTGCCGCTATAGCACGGCGCGCCTGTGGAATTTCATATCAAATGTGTTCCATAGCGAATCACGACAGTTAGTCGGAAACAGTTCGCTAAATGCCCATTATGGAAGTGTCTCACGGCGGTCGGTATTAAGATTACAGCCTTATGGAACGTGACGCCGTGTAGTCTGGCAGAGGTTTACTAATATTTTGGAGGAACACACAATTATCAACGTTTCGGAGGCTTTCATACCTCCATCTCAAAGGAATTTCTTCTAACATGAAAGCGGAAGAAGTACGTTCTTACCTTTCTACCAGACTATACGGCATAACATCCTGTAAGACAATATTCTTATAATTTTTAAGGGTGAGAGTTAGTAAATGGGTCACGAATTGATATAGAACGTAAAACATGTGGCATTCGAACCCGGGGAAAAACATATATTTCTCGACATATCCTCCACCAACATCGATATATTTGTCCCATCGCTTTACCTTTGCGTTGAAACCCGCAGCATAGAAGTCTTTTGACTGTTGTCTCCACTTACGCGCCTCCGTTTCAACTTCTTCGTCATCAGCGAAGCGTTTGCCACGTTTATCATCTCGGCTATGAAACGCTTTACGCGACAAACACTTCCCACAATAAGCAGGAAAAATTTCCTTATGAATATCCTTTGCATTTAGTCCTTTCGTCCTTAAGAAACGCGCAAGAAGATACGATTGGCAACGCATGTAGCACGCATTGGTGTTAGAAATATATATCAGGTTTCGGTGGCAAGGAAATAAGAAAATATACCGTTAGGAAGACTTAGACGTAGATAGGAGGATAATATTAAAATGGATCTTAGAGTGATATGATGGGACGGTATGGACTAGCGGCGGGCTCTCGTAAACACTGTAATGAACCTTCGGGTTCCATAAAATGTTTAGAAATTTGTGAGTAGCTGAGTGTTTGGCGGCTTCTCAAGAAGTGTCCAGCTCCATGGAGATATAGTTCTCGCAGAAAACAGCGTTAAGCGGTTGGGCGTAGCTATGGAAACAGCGAAGGCCTCTGTATAGTGGAACATGGTCCGATTGAAGTCAACCGACGTTTCGGATAGAACATAACACCTCCATATCTAGCAAGATGCAGGCTGCAAGCACATTTCTGCTTGCTGTGTGCTTCATGCTTGGCTCACCCTTCAAACCTGAAGATGGAGGCGATATGGCCGTTAGAAACGTCAGCTAACTTTCACAGGACTACAAGGCCTTATACCGAAGTACGTGTGCATACGTACCTCAGCTTTTATTTGGAGGAGACGAACTAATTTCTCGATTGTATCTCACGCCACGTGATCCGATGCAAGCCAATGCTTTCTTACAGAATTCTCCTTACTCAAAAGCAAAGCGCAGTTCTGTTTGCAGGCTTTGGGGGGGGAGGGGAGGCATTTGCACGTCTCTCGCGAAATTACGGAAGCCCTCTTCAGTCTCCCAGCTCATGCAGAATCAATTTCAATTGNGAGAAGCGCCGAACAAAACGATGAAACGATCTCAAGTGAGTGCAGACAAGAGATATGGATCCACTTCCATCCATAAATTAAATTTATGAAAAAGAAATCTTCATTTCTCTCGAATTTAAATTCCCTTTTGTAGCGAAACAAGAAAAGCACGAGACAGAATTTATCGTGTCCAATATTTCCGCCCGATCTGCAGATGGAACGGTTTCACAGAAATCCTGTGTCTGCCGCCATAATGAAATGACACACTCCGTCTCCATAGCAAACCCCAACCGGTTAATCCTGTTTAGGGAAATAATCGCTGTTTACTGTGAGAACCATACGGAACACATAAATACACTGTGTGGGCAGAATGCAGAGTTTTAGTATCTTGAAGTCCGTACCTCACAGGGAACACACTACGTCTCCATAGCAACGCCCAACCGGTTAATGCTGTTTAGGGAAACAATCGCTGTTTACTGTGAGAACCATACGGAACACACAAATACACTGTGTGGGCAGAATGCAGAGTTTTAGTATCTTGAAGTCCGTACCTCACAGGGAACACACTACGTCTCCATAGCAACGCCCAACCGGTTAATGCTGTTTAGGGAAATAATCGCTGTTTATTGTGAGACCCATACGGAGCACATAAACACACTGTGTGGGCAGAATGCAGAGTTTCAGTATGTTGAAGTCCGTACCTCACAGGGAACACACTACGTCTCCATAGCAACGCCCAACCGGTTAATGCTGTTTAGGGAAACAATCGCTGTTTATTGTGAGAACCATACGGAACACATAAATACACTGTGTGGGCAGAATGCAGAGCTTCAGTATGTTGAAGTCCGTACCTCACAGGGAACACACTACGTCTCCATAGCAACGCCCAACCGGTTAATGCTGTTTAGGGAAACAATCGCTGTTTATTGTGAGAACCATACGGAACACATAAATACACTGTGTGGGCAGAATGCAGAGCTTCAGTATGTTGAAGTCCGTACCTCACAGGGAACACACTACGTCTCCATAGCAACGCCCAACCGGTTAATGCTGTTTAGGGAAACAATCGCTGTTTATTGTGAGAACCATACGGAACACATAAATACACTGTGTGGGCAGAATGCAGAGCTTCAGTATGTTGAAGTCCGTACCTCACAGGGAACACACTACGTCTCCATAGCAACGCCCAACCGGTTAATGCTGTTTAGGGAAACAATCGCTGTTTATTGTGAGCCATAAGGAACACACAAATACACTGTGTGGACAGAATGCAGAGTTCTGTAAAGTTAAAGCATGTGGTACGTACACTCAATACTACGCTAAAGGGTCACGATACAAAAGATCTTCTAGGGGATATAAATGCTATAATTACGTCTGTAAAATTCACTAATGGATTCAGAAACTCTGTTACACATAGCAACTTGTCAGGACACTAGAGTGACGTCACGGGGCTCATTTGCATTGCTGTGAAGTGAAGTGTGCAGCGGAGTGTCTGCTCTTAGGCGCTCCAAATTAATTTAACTGGAGCCCACACAAAGTACATGCAACAATAATATTTCAGTGGCAAATGAACGGTATCACGCGCCCAACTGCACGGCAAGCGACGTTCATGTACAGGGTGTTCCATTCCGAGTGACTAAGCATTCTCGGTGGGATCTGCTCTTAGCGTGCAAGGAAAGCACCACTGTTTCGGAGAAACCTGCCGCCTCAATCTTTCCTGCACAACGGTGCCAGCGTTTCGGAGGAACCTACTTGTCTGCAGCTTCAGGACAGATTACGCGGCTCCTATTCGATCGGTCAGTTAAATTACTGCCAGCATTCGCCAGCACAGTCGATCTTGGTTTTTGATCCCATCTGGGAACCCAAGACCATATTTTTGTTCTTTCGAAGAAATTTACGTGTTTTGAAATGGGGCCCTCTGTTCCACGAGAGGGGGAGTCTGACTGCTACTGGTCACTCCTCACTCCTCACACTCGTTATTCACATACAGAAAAATACAAGCTCCAAGTTTCCTGCTGCGCACAGAGTGACATTCACTTCGTGCTCTTACCAATATGCACGGTAGCATGGCTTGTGTTGCAGTAGTTTCTGGGTGCGGTTCGTGCCCCATTCCTATCCTGTCACTTAAACTACACGGGGAATCCTTCATTTCTTAACGCGAGTTTCAGTCCTAGTTACTGGACGTCGTGACACTGACTGGCAAAGCAAACATGTCCAGGGCAAAGAACGGCGACTTCCGCTTGCATTAGAATACTGTCACTATTTAGGGGCGTGACTATAGACGGGGTATGGATTTGATATAAGATTTATTGGCACACCTGTAAACACCACTCGGAACTACACTCTACAGATCACTGACACACACAGACTAGTGTCCTCAGTCTATTACAGTCTTCATTAGTCGTATCCTGATAACGACTTTTAACAGTGGAGATTCTCCAGCTTCCCGCTCTCAGTTCCTCTTCTCACAGCCGCCCGTGCAGAACCCTTTGTCAACTGTCAATTCAACTATAACGTCATCTCTTCTTAATTTTCCTTTCTCTGATCTGTACTGCCAACCCTCAACTCAGTCTCAATTTTCCAATTATCACCTCAACTGGCCTGGTGTCCTCGTTATTTATTCTCGGAGCGAACCCAACAGAAAACACCGCTTTCAAATGTACCTCTATTTTTGTGTGGTTAGCCACCCGTTGCCTAGAAACGGCCGTTTGCTGATTCTCGTACTGCGTAGTAACGGCTGTACTCGATACAATATGATGAAAGTGCTCGAGAAACGTGAGCGAGGCAGTGGTGCCAACTCTCCCAATTCGGGGTGCGTGTCCCAGTATTGATTTTTGCTAACCGCATTTCAGAAGGGATTTCCCCGAGCGGGCTGGTGCTTACACAACCGCACATGTCGCGCAAGTAGCGTACCTGTTCCCTGCAGCTCCCGACTTGCCTACGTTGTGTTACACATCCCATGGGCCCACAAGGGGCTGTTCCGTGGGTCATCATTTCGATTGCAGCGTCAAGACGTTCTAGTCTAGAGACGCTACACAAACTAGGCAAGAAGGTAAAGCTATCCGTGCAACAGGCCGTGGAGGCCCATACGGTTGTGAGACGTCGAGGCTCCCATATTTTCTCTAGACAATCGGCTCACAGATGGCGGTGAGGTTGTCAGCCTCACGCGCCGACCGCCCTTTAACCCCAGGAAGATTCCTGGTACTCATGTCTGTTGCGGTTGAATCGACCCCAGGGTCATAGTGCGGCTGGAAGGATTAAGTAAATTGAAAAAATTCACTTCATCGGAACTCGAACCCGCGACCTTCTAGCTTGTAGCACAGCGCCTCAGCTAACAATGCTACCGCGTGCCTCCCTACACAAACTTATTTAGCGACACTATCGGTACGCATCGGGAAGGCGACGACTGCTTCGTTCCGGAGCCTACTTAATCCCTCGCTCATTAATCACCCTTTCGACACCACTCAGATTCGTAAAATAAGCAACCCCAAAGGAAGACGGAAACCCAGAGCACACTGTCTTTAGGGTTCTATTAAGTGGGATACAGCGACATATAATCCTTTGAAATTCAACCGACGTTTCGGCAGAACATGTCGGCTCCTTCTTCAGGGTCGAAAAACCGAGAAAGAAAGCAGCGTGAAAGCATGTGGCAAACAGAGTCTGTCACCTCTTTTCATGTTGGTTTCTTACTCGGCTTATTTTTCGACCCTGAAGATGGAGGCGACACGTTTCTCAGAAACATCTGTCGACTTTCAACGAACTACAAAAATGGCGCTATATGTCCACTGCTGTGAGAACCTCAGATCTTAAATAACTGTTTCTCGGTTTCGAACAGTGTTCTGCGCAGTTCGAAACGTCGCTCGAGGTTGTCTCGATGTGCAACGTAATTTGGTTATATTAAGAAAAGCGTCCTATTGTTCACGCTGACCCCAATGGCATTTATTTTTCTTCTGAGTCTAACGGCAGAAAGCTGTATCAACTGGCAATGCTGTTGACTGTACTCACCATTGCCGGACCTCCTTCTCGGAAACTGGAAAAAGAGAAACAAAATGAACTTTAGTGAAGGGAACTGACAAAGTATAGTAACATCTTTTCAGATGTGAAGCCGTGTAATCCAATATAAATTCACCGACGTTTCGGATAAACCTACTGTCTCCATCTTCAGGGAAAAGGAGCTCTGCTTGCTGCCTAGGTCTTGCTGCTTGGCTGGGTTACTCTTCGATCCTGAAGAAAGAATCAGTAAAGTCCTCCGAAACGTCGATGCATAAGGAAATGTCAGGAGAGAATGAGTATGAGTATGTGTGTGTGTGTGTGTGTGTGTCTGTGTAACTTTGATTCTACTCATCCAAGCAATAAAAAGATTCTATGTTCGGGGCCATATCAGCAAAAGCAGTTCTTAACAGTACGAACGGACAGTTTCTTTGTGCAAGTTTTGAAAAGGTAAAAAGAAAAACTGCCAATAAAGTAAGCAACACTCAGACATAAATACTGCCTGCACTTGTCGGACCCACATCAAAATAATAACCATACTCACATAATACACACGATACATTCAAACAAAAGACCGCTCGCTCATTCATGAACTACTACGTAACTAATATTTATGGAAGGTGTTAATGCCAAAACAATTCGTTGCTATGGTCACCTGAAATTGCAAATCAGAGTTTTAACTCCGTCGATACTAAACATTTTACATATCGTAAGCGCTCGCTAATCCGGTTACAGCCAATTCGGCTCGGAATATGAAAAATGAAAAATTCTGTTTACAGTCCAGTACTTACTTACTTATGGAGCTGAGCCCTTCTTGAGGAGCCGCCAATTCTGCAGCTACTCAAGAACTTCCCAGCATTTTATGGAACTCGAAGGTTCATCACCGTGTTCACAAGAGCCCACCACTGCTCCCTATCCTGAGACAGACCAGTCAAAGCCATACCATCCCATTCTATCTTTCTAAGATCCATTTTAATATTGTCCACCCACCTACGCCTTGGTCTTCCCAGTGGTCTGTTTCCTTCTGGCTTTCCCACCAATATCCTATATGCATTCCCCTTCACCCCCATTCGTTCTACATGCCATGCTCACCTAATCCTCCTTGACTTGATCATTCTAATTATACTTGGAGAAGAGNCTCAAGAACTTCCCAGCATTTTATGGAACTCGAAGGTTCATCACCGTGTTCACAAGAGCCCACCACTGCTCCCTATCCTGAGACAGACCAGTCAAAGCCATACCATCCCATTCTATCTTTCTAAGATCCATTTTAATATTGTCCACCCACCTACGCCTTGGTTTTCCCAGTGGTCTGTTTCCTTCTGGCTTTCCCACCAATATCCTATATGCATTCTCCTTCACCCCCATTCGTTCTACATGTCCTGCTCACCTAATCCTCCTTGACTTGATCATTCTAATTATACTTGGAGAAGAGCACAAGTTATGAAGCTCCTCATTATGCAGTTTTCTGTGCAGTTGAGTACCTACTTCGAAAGATATCGAGTTTAGGAGCAAGAGGACTTTCAGACTGAGCTGAGGGCAGCTGGAGAGACTGAAACCTCGCAAGAAAATATGCAAGATTGGCTTCAGCTGGATTTCAGTTTCTTGTCTCTCTGTAGTTTTCTAAATCGACATACTTTTCATGTATTTTCCTCAGCACTGCTTACGTTATTATTTGTTTCCTAAGCTTTGTTGTCNTGCAGTTGAGTACCTACTTCGAAAGATATGCAGTTTAGGAGCAAGAGGACTTTCAGACTGAGCCGAGAGCAGCTGGAGAGACTGAAACCTCGCAAGAAAATATGCAAGATAGGCTTCAGCTGGATTTCAGTTTCTTGTCTCTCTGTAGTTTTCTAAATCGACATACTTTTCATGTATTTTCCTCAGCACTGCTTACATTATTATCTGTTTCCTAAGCTTTGTTGTCTTCTAGGGACACTGAGGGTTTGCTGCACCAACATACCGGGGGTCTCTGCCCCACGAGTTGCCTGGCCTCATCCAAACAGTACATCTACACGCTACACGACATCGCGTGCCGTCGTTTCGGAAAGTGACGTAACGATGTCCTGGCGTCTGACCCCTCAATGCATAATGCAGGCGAAACGTCGGGGCGTCGGAGCGCGTCAAGGTCGCGGTTCACATACCTGCTGCACGCAAGGCGGCGGGGAGGGAGGGGAGGTTGCGACGCTGTCAGCAACTGATCCATATAGCGTCGTGCCGTGGTAGTATTGACGGTGAATTCGTAAGGATTTAGAAGGAAACGGCCGCGATAAACCGGTATTTGCCTGGATGAACTGAGGAAAATAAAGGAAAACGTCAGTCAGGCAGGATAGCTTGTCCAGGCCCAGGTTCGAACCGAGTACGTGCCGAATACAAGCCCAGTGTTACCGCTGTGATAACCAGCCAGTTAATTCAATATCCGCTTCGAATATCGGCCTGTGGCTATCCTCACGGAAGATTATTGTATTCTTGGCTATGGCGCTGCGTAATGTAGTTAGAAGTTTCCATTGTTTCGGAGGATCCTGCTGCCTCCATCTTCAAAATATAACAGTGAATATGGATGGTAAATTTGTTACAGTCCACACGGAGTCAGGCTCGAATACTGACATCTGTTCTCTGACTGAGGATTTTCGTGGGGTTCCTCAGACTAACCGGGCAAATTTCAGGATACNGTTCGAACCGAGCACGTGCCCAATACAAGTTCAGTGTTACCGCTGTGATAACCAGCTAGTTAATTCAATATCCGCTTCGAATATCGGGCTGTGGGTATCCTCACAGAAGATTATGTATTCTTGGCTATGGCGCTGCATAATGTAGTTAGAAGTTTCCATTGTTTCGGAGGATCCTGTTGCCTCCATCTTCAAAATATAACAGTGAACATGGATGGTAAATCTGTTACAGTCCACACGGAGTCAGGCTCGAATACTGAGGATTTTCGTGGGGTTCCTCAGACTAACCGGGCAAATTTCAGGATAGTACTGTGAAAATCCACGACCAACTTCTTCCAAATCCTTTCCAATCCACAATTCATATCCCTTCATATTATCTGACGATATAGTCTCCATGTAGAAAGGGTAGTTAAACAGCCCGCAAAAGAAAATACAGAATTCAGGGCGTCATATCCCAGAAGTCAACTTTCATATTCAGAACTTCAGACCTCATCGGCCCTGGGCGGTGTCTCGCCTCGCTCCCGCAGCGGTACACCGTCCCGTTACGGTCGGGCGCGACGTCGGCAAAAAGCGTCCCAATTCCCGAGGCGGCGCGGCGACGTCCCACCGGTTTATGGCTTCGTTCCGTTACTGGGTAACACACCTACGAATGGGCTCAAATATTTGTTCTAGTCGCTTCCTCCATAAACAATTCGGAGCCTTGCGCTGTCTCACACTGGGTCAATATTGACTCCTGTCCTACTGAGGCAGGTCAGCTCGCGGGAGCATCTGACGGTCCTGGGTTCTGATCCCGTCTCCGACAGCTGTCATCGTGTGGCAGTCGGTATGACGACCGGCTGGAGGCTCTGGGTCCCCTCCGGCCTCCTGTCCACTGGGTACCTCAGCCGGGGCGTGAAGCTGACCACTGACCTCCATCTAGAGCCGATGTCAATAATGGTGGAGCTATACATCCACTCCCCCATACAGGGACAACTTAGAGAACAAGAAGTGGCGCAATGCTTTGTGGTTGCAGCCTCTTTCACCGTGTGTAATGCAAAAGTGTAATTAGGAACTGTAATGCGGCTGCCCGGGTTCGAACCCACGTCATGTCATGTTGGATATGTGGCGGCCAAAATGGTACTGAGACAGGTTCTCTTAAGAGTACTTGGGTTTCCCCTGCCAATTCTCATTCCGTCAGCTTCTCAATATTCAGTAATAAACCTATCATCGCTGCAGCGTCGTTAAACAATAACAGCAGAGGAAGTGACGCAGCGCGCAGAGGCGGAACTGTAAAGAAAGTGACTTACAACGTACATCCCTTTCTTGTGAGGTTTAAAAAATTCGCTACTCGTTTTTTGGAAAATTACAAATGAAATACGTGTGAAAGTATAACAGAGAGGCAAAGAAAGTTGGCGAGGATCTAAGGGGAGTAGGGCAAGTGAGGGCGACCCTGAAGCTGGAGACAGCATCTGCCTCCGAAACGTAGGCAACACTACCCAAGAAGAAGGCCGTCTTCTGGGATGTGGCGCCGTATAGATCTTGTGCAAACCGACGTTTCGGAGGATCGTATCGCCTCCATCCCTGAAGATGGAGGCGACACGGTCCTCCGAAATGTAGGCACACACAATATCTACACGGCGTCACATCCTAGAAGACGGCCTTCTTCTTAGTCACCGCCGTGAAAACCTCAAATCTTACAGCAAACCGCGGAACCAAAGGCGAGCAGAATCAGCATACATAAGGTAACAATCTGGAGACATATTCCCTTCTTCCCCGCACAAACCTGACTGGTCCGTAAGAGTGGAGCGCCTGCAAGCGACGGTGAGGGTCTAGCCGAGCCCTGGAAATTGGATCGCGCGCCTTGAATTATAAACAGCCCCATCACAACGGACTACATTAGTGCACCCAGCCAGACGGTACAGCCATCTATCGGCGTAATCCCTTCTCGATATCGAGAGTCACGGAGCCAGCCGTGGAAACAGAGGAGCTGCCACGGCTTGGGGCGTCTGCGGAGCTCACTAGAAAAAGTGCTTTCTCTTGCGACGCCGTGTAGTCTCGTACAGGTTCACCGACGTTTCGAAGGAAACTACTGCCTCCATCTTCATTGCAGGAGTGTAAGCCACTCATACGATCACCAAACATAAGAACAGCGACGGGATTTCAGGCTCTCAGAGCGGGATGTGACAACGTGTAGTCCGGTAGAAGTTCTCTGACGTTTTGAAGGAACGTAGTGTCTGCATCCACTCTGCTGGACACGCACGCAGAAATCTTCCTCTAGTCTTGCAAATTCATACCAGAACATTCGGCGGCATCGTCAGACGGCAGGGGGGGGGCACGCGGTAGCGTAGTTGGTTGAGGCACTATATTACAAATCGGAAGGTAGTGGGTTCGATTG